GGAGGGAACTCAGAGCAGATGTAAATGGTCGTAGAGACATGTCCAATGTGATGAGAGTATAGTTGACAGTAGTTATGTCGGACTGGCTTCTTAGTCAACATATTGTCGCCCTATCACTATAGTCAGAATATCAATCTATCAAGTGACGCCATGTTGCCTACCTCCCGCAGAAACCATTTCATCTGGTTCGTAGCATACCACTCCTAACGATCTTCCGACCAATATTTGTCAGATTGCCGATGCTTCTGGGGATCAAACTTGGTCATGAACATTACTCCATAGCTGTTTCGAGCTACCCGTACGCCTACTGTCACACCCAGGGTTGCTGAGAGGCCGTGGTTTGTAATGCCGTGGACTACAGCACCGCGGCAGATAGCCGACCATCTATTTTCAATGGTCAGAACATTTCCACAAACCCCTTGAGATTACTTACGGCTTGTTCCCGCGCGACTGTAGAACTGTGCTCTCAGAAAAGGCAGAACGAAGCTTGTTGTACAGGTAGGAGCTACGACCGAAGCCACCGACAAGAATGATGTACTATTTGTGTCAGCTTGCTGCAGTTCTGCCTGGGTTATCATTATTATTTTTTACCTTTGCTGGCTTCCCAAGCTTTGACTTAACAGCCTGGGCTTGCTGGCGTACAAGGCCCTCGATCCTGTCGACGATAGGGGTGTATGCAGACAGAATGTCGCTTCTGTAAGGAGATGAGGAAATATTCGAAACAAGAACTTGTCCCTAGTATAACTTACGAGCTGAGTTCAAGCGTCTTTCGCCGTTTGAGCTTTCCGCTGGAGCTCGTGGCATTGCAACTGTCAGGAAGGTCTACGACCCAGTCCCTGTTCTGATTAGAGAATTGAGACTTAATTCCATGCTCCCAACACTCGTTCAAGAATTTCTTCTCCTCAGCAGAGGTGACGCTGTCCCATGATCCAGGTGTGAGCTTTCTTTTGATGAGTTCCAGGAACTGTTCGTCGAGAAACACGCCTCCGCAGAGCCCCCCTAAGAGATGAGCTGATGTCTGTGTTGTTTTGTATTTTGTATGAGAACTTACCGTCGCCTTTGACACACTCCTTCACCACAAATGGAGAGGTTGACTCAATTTGATAGCTGATCAAGTCCTGCAGCATATTAGAATATTAGGCAGCTTAGGACAGGTCTTATCGAGCTTACAACCGTTCCTCCTCCAGCATCACAAATGACCATCGTATCCCCAATCTGGGTGTGTTCAGCTCATACTCTTGACAATTGTTCTTTGGGTCTCACCTTCATGGTCGACCTCTTCGAAAGATCCTTGATGGTAGCTAGGGCTGCAGCCTCCGGCTCTGAGATGAAACGAAGTTTGGTCTCACCGCATTATCGAGCATCAAGAATACCTGAGGTTTTGGCAGCCTGCTTCATGCGTTGCTGGGCGTAGGGGGGCCAGATGGCTGGCAGCGTAATGACAACATGAAACGGCGACTTTTGCAACAGTTCAGCTCCAACAGCTCTTTGGATAGAGTCAATTGCATGGTTCCATATTTTTCGCAAATAGCACGCGATGACCTCGACTGGGTCTTTCTTCGTCTTATCCAGAAGTTTCTGGGCGCAGCGCATCTGGGAGGACTTTGAAACCATAATGGGAACATCCTCTCCGTCAAGCAATAGAAGCTTGAACCACTTCAAGGCATCCTTACTGGCGGGGATAGAGTATTCCCAGGATGTGCCTCTTTTTTCGTCGTATAGCAACTGAGTTGGTGCCTTATCAACATCAGTACAGTTGTTGAACTCAGATTCCCAGCTTGTCACAAGTTCGATCTCTTCCGGTTCTCGAGAATACGCCCAAGCAACTCCCGAGTACCTAGAGAGGGGAGGGTCGTTAGCGGTTCCAGTTACTTGAACGGACTCATCCTTGGGGAGAGGACACTTGGGAGAGGAGAGCAGGCAGAACTCACGTTGTCCCAAAGTCGAGTCCAATGATAAAGAAATCATCGACTGGCTCGTTGGTCGTCATCTCGGATGATTCTCAGCGATAGAGGGACGTCTCAAGCTCTGTACTGTTGAGGCCGATGCTGCGATCAGAGGTTGTGAAGCAAATATGTTATCAGAGATGAGCCGTCAGCTCCTCGATCTGGAGATGAAATGAAGGAGGAGGAGAGCAAAAAAAGTAGAGATTCAGGAATAAATAGAGCCATTATTTCTCCGATATTCTGAAATCCAAACAGCAGGGCATCGGGCAGAGTGATTCACTGTGGCTGCAGTGCCAGTCACACGCACTCAGTGATTGTGGTCCTTGCCAACAGGTTTCTGATGATATAATAAGAACACCTCCTTTGGCCTTGCATGTTTTCTTTTCTTTTTCTTTTCTCTCACTCCACCTCCTCCGATATTTGTCTGCTCTCTTAGACTCGGGGTACGAGTGTCTTCCCTCCACTGACAGACCTGATATGATCAGAGCTCTTTGAACCAGATCATATCAAGTCCTTCGGCCTCAGGCAACCTTATTCTTCAGCTATATATCACTTGACTGGTTAATCCCAAGATACTACCGTTAGTCATTGATTCGGGCAATGCTTTCTTGAACATTACCTATCCTCCCACTTGCCTAGGCACGGCGTACACTTACTACATCTTCTTGATATTGACTACGAAAGCACGTCGCGGGTTTGTCTCCTCACTTCTACACCAGCTACGAATCACGGAGGCTCAAGACTCGAACCAAAAGCCAGGGTTCCCTCTCAATCTCGAAACTGAAGTGTCTCGACCTCCCAACACCATCATGGACCAGAGCACTCCTCCCACAAAATTTGAAAAAGATTACAATACCCTCTTGGACGGCATCTCGAAGTTCCCTGCTTCCCCTAACCACCCAAACGGCTCTGGAGTCCAAGACAACCATCAAAACTACACAGGTCCCATGCAGGCTGGTAATACGCCTGAGGACTGGACTGTAGAGGATATCCTCAAAGTTCAGCAAGAGAACAATGCTGCGTTCTTAGACAACATTCGTCTGACTGCTTCGAACGAAAGATCAAACTTGGCTCAAGTAGTCCAGAGCGAGTTTCAGAACGGTATGGATCGAATTTGCAACTACATCAAGAACTTGGTTCCTCAGCCAGCTCAGGATTCAACTACCTCGACAATCAAGGAACTTCGCGCTCAGCTGAAAAATGAGACAAATTACATACAGAAGCTCTCTGGTGATCACAATAACCTGCTTCAGCACCACCATAAACAAAAGCAAGATCTTGGCAAAGTAAACGCCAAACTTGATGATGCCCTTCGCGAGAGAGACCAGCTACGCCAGCTTCTTGGGGGCGGTTCTCTGGCAAACTCTGACAAAGCAACCGATGATTCAATTCGAGACAAATGGAGGGTACTCGCTTACAACATTCGGTGTCTGGCTCGCCACCTTGCCCACAATCCGCCTCAACAGCAACTTGACGAGGTCGCTGAGGCACGGCTACGATTTGTCTATAAAGACTATCGCAAACTTCTCAAAGACGAAGAATACCGAGAGCTTATTATTATGAGCTACCTATGGGTCACTGTTCAAGACGAGGTGTTCGACGCCAGGGAAACCGTTTGGGGTGGACCTGAGTTGAAGTCCTTCAAGGCTGTTCGTGATCGCATTATCTGTGAGTATATGCTATGTACTTTCCTTCATGGCATCGCTAACCCGCAAAGCTCGTTTTGGAGAAGGTGTTAGTATTCCCAACTGTGATGACCCCGTCGCTCATGCTGCACGGTGGCTGGCCCAAGGCTCGGTAATGATGAGCAACCTTTGGGAGAGAGATGATCGCGGCATGAGACGTCTCGTGCTCGCAGAAGCTAAGCGCCTAAGGCCATTTCATTCAACTCCCCAGTCCACAGCAGATAGATGTGATAAGAAGGTTACTGATCATCTTAGAGATATTCTGGACTCAGCAATCGAACTTGACCAGATGATGATGGGCTCCAAGGCAATCTTTTTCACTCACTGGCGAGATAGATCCCAGAGTCCTAGTGCTGCTGAGATGTGGAACGAGGGTGCTATGGATTCAGAGGCATCTACGAACACCTTGTCCCTCAAAAGTCGTGTCCTATTCTTCATTTCGCCTATTCTTCGTAAAGTCGGTACTGCTGATGGACAGCGATATGACTCTAGCATGGTGCTGGCCAAGGGTCTTGTGGTCTGCGACTAACTGGATATCATTGGCTATTCGCAATAAAAGATCGTGGAGAAGGTGGCCCTCGCGAAACCCAAGGCATAGAGACAATCGATCGTGGTAATCGAAGAGAGGATCTTTCTGTGGCAAAGGTTCTTGAGGGTCTGTTGTATCTTGGGGCAGGTTGGGGAATATTTCGTTTTCTGTGTGGCATATGATGAGCTTCTACGATTTGCAGATCAGTATACAGACAGAACTAATTAACTGATATCGGAACTTGTAACTCCTGGCGTACTCAAGTGACATTGTTATTGCAATCTATGCCAGAGTATCCTTATTATGTGCCCTCAGAGACCAAGAAAACATCGACCTTGATACAAGGTATTAAAATAAACTTAGGAGAAGACATCCTGAACTTAGTAAAGATATCCTAAACTTGGACCAAGTTACCTAAGTCTTTTAAAATTTAGAGTCAAGGTCCTGTATTTTCTTTCCTCCCTAAGCAGCCTGAACTTCACTATGCATACGCGAAAGCCACCTGAGAACAAAATATTGTGAAGCGTTCGAACATGTTATACTTTTTAACTAAAACAAATAGAATCGAAGTACATCAAACAAGTATCATCCATCATACTCCCTCCCTCTAGATTAACAGTATTGACCACTGTCTCGTATCATAACCATTCCATGTATGCATCTATGTCACACTCTTCTGAAACCCCAATTAGGTATTAAACAAAATCCACCAACTCCAAATCCAAAAATGCTGTCTGTACAAAGGAGCCATATCATCAAAGTATTATCTTTACTGACTCAAGCGCTGAGTCCCAGCCCAATCTTGACAGCCGCACCTAGCCCGCCTTGTCGTGGTTGCTCCTAGTCGGCTCCAGTCGGCGTGGGATAGGATGTCTCGGTAGCGCTCGTCGTGGGAGTCTCAGTCTCAGTTTCGGTCTCGCAGGTTGTTGTTTCTATGGTACTGGTAATGTCCTCAGATGTTTTTGGGATCACAGGGGGGTCCTCTGAGCTGGTTGTGGCAGATGTGGTGGTCTCAGCGGGTGTCTCCGTTTCTGCGCTGGTGGTCGTGCTCTCAGCAGTGGAAAGAACGGTGGTATCCTGGTATGTTGTCGAGAGTACAGGAGGGATCGTCGAGTTGGTAGGGATGGAAACAGTAGAGGACTCAGAAGACTCGCTTCTGGCAGCAGGATCAGTGTAGACAGGCGGTGTGTAGACGGGTTTAGTGTAGACTGGTAGGGTATAGACGGCGTCACTGGTTGTCGAGATGACCGGTGGCACAACCGTTGACGAGTTTCTGGGCTGAGAGTAGACCGGCTTAGAGTAAACAGGAGGCATGTATGTAGGAGTCTCTACAGGCTTTGTGTAAACAGGAGGGTCAACGGTGGATGAATTTCCAGGGATGATAGGCTGGGAGTAGGCTGGCTTGGTATAAGCCGGAGGCGTGTAGATGGGGCTATCGACTGGTTTGGTGTAAATGGGCGTCTCATAAGTCGAAGAGTTGCCAGGCAAGGTGGGCCTTGTGTCGACAGGCTTGGTGTACACAGGAGGGACATAGCCTGATTGGGTGCCAGTGGAGTTACCATAAGTAGGGTCCGAGTACACAGGCTTGGTATAGACCGGCTTAGTGTAAATAGGAGGAGAGACGTAGCCATCGGCAGTGCTGTAGACTGCACTCTGGCCAGGAGTTTTGTAACCCGTGGGCGTAGAGGCAGAGTATCCAATAGTAGAGTTCATGTTAGGATAGTCATTCTTGGTCTGATAAGGCGCCCCATAGGTCGAGTTGGCAGGATAAGGATATCCAGTGTTCTTCTCGCCGTATGGCATGGTTGAAGCATACTTGCCAGGAGGCACGTAGATGGTGTTGCTGATGGTCAGGGTCTTGGTGCAGTCATGACAGACAGCAGTGGTGTAGTAAGATCCATCGGAAGAAGCAGTAACGGTGACAGTGACATCGACAGTCTTAGTAGAGACGAAAACGTAGTTGGAAGGGCACTGGATCCTTGGCTCAAGAGTTGTTGAGTGAGTGGTCGGTGTAGTTGTGTTCCTGGGGGGCGTGTAAGTGTTGATAGGAGTGCTTTTGTTCGCAGGAGTATATCTCGGAGGGTCGTAGGCGTTTCCATCGGGAGACCGAGCAACTCGACGGTGCTGGAACTGTGAAATGTTAGATCATGTTTACTAGTGTAAGTGATGGACCTCATACAGAACTGAACCAGGAACCCCGAGGAGCAGCTTCGACTACCGTGCCCAGGAGGCCAACGGCACCAACAATTGCAGGCAGACGCATCTTTTTGATTGAGACTCTATGAGTATTGAAGACAAGAGTGAGAGTAGCCAAGAGAATGTGAGGCTGTTTGTGAGAGTGAAGGCGATGCTGAGTCTGGTGGTGAGATATTCATTTTCGGGACGCATCCCATCGTCCTTAAGTACGGCTTCATTTTCCCAAGGGTTTTTCTGAGGGGGTTGTGTATAAGTAAAAGGGCAGAACTATTGAGGTTGAATATTGAACAAATTGGTGTCAGAAAGGGTGCTATATTGAAAGAGGGATGTTTGCTCAATACAGAAGGGCGGCGTTTTCGGTGGTGAAGCGGGGGCACTTTATCGATTCAGGGGAGTTCGCACCAACCAAACGGCCTCGATCCTGATGGGACAATAGGGACAGAGGGCGGAAGAAGCAATCAATTCGTCGACAAGGCCAGGGAATCAGAGACATTTATGAATATTCCATTTGCCAATCATGCCCCTAGAGCGCGACAGCGACAACCTTATTGCTCGACAACTTGACATGAGACACATTCAAGGTGAACGTGGGATTGATAGTAATAGTAATAATCTATTCTTCATATGTCGTCGGTTCGATAAAGGGCAATTTATTCATCTCGCGCGCTGTTGACTCTTCACGGGTTGCACGACCACGTGGGTGGCTAAGACAACGTGTTGGTGAGTCCGATCAAGACAACAAAAAGTGCACGCGATTCGTCTCATGGCAAAGTAAGTACAAGTGTGCCCTTCACAGCCAATTCAACTGGCGTGATCTGTGGGTGTAGTAGTATCATTGTGTGTCAATCATAGTGTGTGTGTATGTGTGTGCCTGCGTGGTTCTTCCTGTCGAACAGTCCATACATGCAGGAATGGGTATCAAGAGGGCCACGCAATCGCCGTCGTGCCCTTTGTAAAAAGCTAACAAGAAACCAACAACAAAAAACCATATGCTTATGCCGCAAAAATCATCAATAACCTGCCGCCCCGTGATGCAATCATGTAAAATCGAGTATTGTCCCAGGCTAGCTCGAGTCAAGTCCGTCATACGCCGTGGCCCCTCTTGACATGTTTCATCTCAATCGTTCATCTGGTTCTGGTTCTGGTTCTGGTTCTGGCTCCGCCTCGGCATTGCACCCATCAGTCCTCCCAGATGGTCTCAAGGTCGAGATCTCCTCTTCGCTCAGCACCGCACACACTCCAACGCTTTCGCTTGTCTCTAGAGCCGAAACCCATCGTACGGCCTCGCGTCTGGCCATCCTTTCCTTTCAGGTCGGAGGATTCATTTCCCTCTGCAGCATCTGCATCGGCCTTGAGCTGGGCAATTCTTTCAGCTTCCAGCGCTGCTTCTTCAGCATCAGGTGTGTCCGGAATTGTTTCCAAGCTGGAGATGCTGGGGCTTCGGGACCTGGTCGACGTTGGCGTGGAGGGAACCGACGAGTAAGTTGTGCCATAGCTTCCGGAAAGGGCATCGTAGCTTCGATAAGAGGATGTTGAGGAAATAGAAGAGGATGGTGTTGATGGAAATGTGCCTAGAGAGCCAGTGCTCGAAGATGTGAATGTTCGAAGAGGAGAAGATGGCCGTCGTAGTCGGGCGGGGGTGCTTGTGGAAACGCCCATGATGGGAGAGGTACTTCGTCGCTCATGCATTTGCTCAGGTTCGAGAACTGAAGTTCGAACTGGAGAAATTGGCGGGAAAGCTTCGTCGACAGGCTTTCGTGGAATGCGGACTCTGCTAGGAGATCCAGAGGGGCTTCCAGGACGGTGCTGGGGCGAAAAAAGAATATGGCCTGATCCATTGACGCCTGGCATGGATTGAGTACGAGACATTGGGGGCGCAAGACTCGTCGTAGAACGAGACCTAGAATGAGCGCCTGAGAGCGGAGAAGTGGTGCGTGGTCGATACGGAAGGAAGGGTGTGGCAGACCAAGATGGTGAAGCTGGCGATGTCGGACTGGGGTCGGTGCTTCGTCTCAGGTTTGGCGGCTTTCGAGGCAATTCGATGCTGAGGTTGGAAAAGGCGCTGGGGCTCTGAAGTCGCAGCGATGGATACCCTGGAGAGAGTGAGGGTGAAGCAGACAATGATGAGGAAGCAGATGCAGAGGCAGAGGCAGAGGCAGAGGCAGATACAGGTGCGGGTGCTGGTGTAGGAGTAGGACGGAACTCCTCCATACGCTCTGTCTCGGGAACTGGCTCCATTTCGAAATTGGTAATCGAGGGTGGAGGCAGGATACAATACGATACAATGTGATACGGTACGGCACGGCACGGATGGAAGTTGAGACCAACCGGTTTCGTCAGAAGATAAACGGTGGCATGTGGTGCCCGAAACTTGAACGAGTCTTGGCCGACGAGCAATGGCGTGGATTTCTGGGGGATTTATTCGACCCGGTAGTAATGATCGTCAGCGGCGGTTCTACGAAGCTCTGCCGGCGGCTGCAAGTTCGGGTTGCTTTTGACGAGAGGCGCAGCAATAGGGCGTGAAGCAATCACAAGCTGGCGACAAGAGTGCGGTACTGCATTCAGCGCGGCAGAAAGGCGGGGGTGGATCAAGATTTGAGATAGATCCGAGGTGATATGGACGGCTTTTTGTTGTAGGTGGAGAGGCTATACTTTGTAGCTGTTGTAGCTCGAGGTGTGGTGGTGTAGGTAGGGAGCTTGGAGTTGGGGTTGAGAGGAGAAGGGCGGAGGGACCTGTACCTCGAACTCAGCTACCTAAGGTACTCAGCTACTCAGCTCTCGAAGGCGGTGTCGCGGTAGCTCAGCTGAAATGGAGGTGACAACACGAAAAAGAAGGAAAAAGCAACCCTCTTAGGAAAAGAAGAGGGAGAATGAGGAGAAAAGGACTTGAAGATGAGGAAACGTGGAGGCGTTTGAAAGAGAAGATGAGAAGTGATTTTGAGAGGCGAGTCAAGTTGAGCGAGCATGTACCTTAGTAAAGATATGGAAGCGAGACCAGCGGCTGTAAAGGGAGACCCAAGTGACACTGGGCGCGTGGTTCCGACGGTCAGGGCACCCACCAGTACCAACTCCAGTACCAGTGGTTGATGGCTCGGTGAGGTACCTCCGCTAGGTAGTGGGGGGGCTTCTGGGGCCCAAGGCCTGGGGAGGAACGTGCGATGAATCCACTAGGGGCTCTTAGCGGGGATTTGAGCCTGGGCGATTAGTTCAGGGTATGTGACGGTCAGGAATTGTTGAAAGCTTGGGAGCTTGGATGAAAGAAAATGAACAAAGAGAGCAGTAACGGTTTTATTTACAACAGGATGGTTGTATTTTGCATTCTCGTATAGCTGCAGATTTAGACAAAGCTTAACTATTCAATGGCATTACAGTACCTGCAACGTCGACAAATCGGCAGTCATCTCTCGTTGTCTCTACATACAAGGGTCTCTTTGAATCTAAAACAAAACAACATCCGCCAACGCCACCGCTTCCCATTGACATACCTGACACTGCCATGTTTCCTACCAAGGAATCAGGACAGGTATAATAACAGCCATGTTAATAAATGAGATGGAATGGCCCGAGATCATTCAATGTCATGCGATGCAGTGCGACGCGCGGGGTGTCCTATGTATGCGCATTGTTCAACGACAATCACGACCTTCAAGATGCTCCCTTCAAGTCACATCACATTCCGTTTCCACATCAACAGCATGCTCACGCAGATGGCAACGCAGCCAATCCTTCTTAGTAAGCATCATCAACCATTCGGAACCGTGGAAACTACCCGGACTCGTCGCTTGAATTGCCTCGCTTGTCTTGGTACAGTATGTATGTACGCGAGACGAGACGACGACTCGCCGAGTATCTCAATGAGGCGATCCATACAGATAGATCGGCCCAAACTACCGGTTCTCAACGCTTGACACCGCCCTTCCAGAACGTGACACCAGCATTAATAGTTACAGTTAGATTTCGAATAAGATGAGCACTCTGCCACTTTCAGTACCACTGGGTTCCCTAATCCGGTAGACCGTTCAAACCGCTCATCTTCAACCGTCAGCCACTCACGGTACGCGCCTCCAAAAGAGACGCCGCCTGTCATGGAAACCATTCACTGAAGCCTCGACGCCCGGGTTTCAGGAGCCGGGGGCCCTCATGCTTCGTGGAACCTTTGGCTCTGCGGGTGAGAAGCCGGAGGCCTTTTGTATGTACATAAAAACAACTGGGGATCTACGGGAGTCGAGGGAATAATTTGTATGTAAAACCCCTCAAGTGGTCTAGGGAGTAATTAACAAAAATCGAGACCTAATAGAAGATGCCAAAATAAGTTCAGCAGGCAGGCCTCCATGTTCATGATTCCCCCAAGTCTTTTTTTGTCACTTGGGATAAAGACCGTAGAGTTTCTCCCCTCCCTCCCTAAACATGGTTCAAGCATGAACATGGCGTGGAGCATGCATGATAGCGTGCTGCCTGTTGCGCCGTCAATAGCAAGTCGGTCTGTCTGTACCTGGGAGGCTTGGATAAAGTCGACCAATCCCATTCCTGTCCACGCATTTCCACGCATCACTGTATTCTTTCAGTGAGCTACACAGCACTGTGGCAAACGAGCATTACATTGCATTCATCTCCCGTGCTTAGCGCTGCTCAACTCGCTACTGATGGTCGTTCGTCCTGAATCGGAAAGCCAATAGCCACTGAATTTGTTCTCAAAGGTACCACCGAGTCAGTCAAGAGTCCAGTGACCCCATGAGCCAACCAGCTCTCACTCACATCGATCGCTTGACGCCTGAACTTGAGCTCCTACTGGTGAGCGCGTCCTGACGCCTTGATCCTGGCGAGACCCTTGCACAGGGATAGTGAGTGATGGCTCAGGGCTGAGGGATGGATGGCCGTAACGAGGATGGGCCCAGCTCATTGGGTGTAATGTCGTAGCTTGGGCGCTATCTCTGGAGGAATGTCTGCCCTGGTCGCCATGACGTCGTGTCTCGAGTTACCCAATGCGAAGTGATGGTTTGTGAATGCAGTAAAGAGATACTATTCACGCCCAAGGTTGAGCCAGCAACCATCGGCTGACCCCCCCAATCTATAATATGGTTTGGCTCTCTTGACTCGTATGAAATATCACTTCTCTCAACAAACCCTCACTGTTCCCGACCCCAGATTCCTCATCTTTTGATTCTAATCTCAGGGACCTTGCGCTACTGCATGACAGTTCCATATTTAGCTCCCGCCAACAGAATGCTCCGATGCCGTTGGTCATGGTTTTCTCGTATCAGCGCTCGCGGACCTGAAGCAGTAGAGCATTTTCGTACCTTCATTCGTCGTTGTTCTGTTAAGCTGAAGATGGCTCGTCGTATAAAAACAAAGAAGAGGCCTCTGGCTGTATGCATAGGTAGCTTAGTACCTCAGGTCGTATCTCATTTACTAATTCAGTACTAATGCATTACTCGGCATTATGCCGATTCTCTTGATTGACTGAGAAATACCGCGCAAAACTCGGCTTCCGTGGGATTTAACGTTAGTATATAACGCAACCGCTTACATGCGGGATGTTTCGTCAGAGGGTTGCAACTTGAAAGTGACAAGGAGCAGGTCATCCGTCGAGACGATCACATGTACATCATTTCTTTCACGACTCGACCAGACACAGTATGGCATGTCCTACAAGTGGTTCTCACTTGCAGCAGTACTGTTGGTTCACCATCGTGTATGTATTGTGAGGGCTCTCATATCTCCTTTCTCGTTACCAACTGCCACGGATGGCCCTGAAACGAATCATCCAATATCCACAAAGGGGATGTTGTACCCAAGGTTCCTAGAGCGCTCGCAGAGATCAGATGCTCTCACATAATATCGCCGTGACCCATTCATATCCAACAACAATATACAAGACACTTCATGAGTCCCTAGTATTCCCCTATCTTGTTCCTGGTGCTCCCGGGGGTGGAAGCTGGTCAGGTCCAAAAGACATTGGCAAAAGCTACATAGCGTCAACCCCCAACTCAAGAACAAAGGGAACAGAGCGCAACTAACCTGTCGCAGTTTTGCAATCACAAAATCCTCATTCTTATCGAACATGATAATGGGTGTATCCAGTGTGCAAAACTCGCGAATGCTACATCACCGAGAACACGCAACTCACCTGTTAGTCAAATCCATCGTCATCTTCATCTTCAGCTACTCTCTCAAAGACACCCCCAGTAACAACTCACAACTGTCTACACATTCCACATGGACTCGCCGGTGGCGCAATATCAGTTGCGACAGCAATGGCCCGAAACCCACGATGACCGCTTGTCACAGCTGTACCAAGGGCCACGCGCTCTGCACATGTTCCCACAGGATACGCCGCGTTTTCCACATTTGCGCCGCTCGTGAGCTCACCCTCGCTTGAGAGAACCGTGGCCCCGACGCGGAACTGGCTGTACGGGCAGTATGCTGTGGCCTTGGCTGCAACTGCACGCTCACGGAGCTCTGAGAACTCTTTCGGCGTAATGCCGTGGGCTGAACAGACTTCAGCCGTCTTGGCTGTGTCGCCTTTTGAGATAGTCTCTGGGGTCTCCATCATATGACGTGGGTGAAAAGCAGAGTGCGAAAGAGGGGGGAAAGGGAAGGGAAAGAAGAAAAGAGAGGAAAGGGTTTGTGGCAATGGGCGATTGATGCTTATATCCTATTCTGTGTTACTCGTCACTCGTTACACGGGCGGGCCCTTTATCGTGGACGTCTCCGCATCGGGCGCCTCCGTAATGCGGGGCTGAGCGCCGAAATGACGGACCCTTCGGCTGGTTCCTATGATACCACATTGCTTATCATGTCTTTCCTTCAATAATAGGCAGGTAGGTTACTATCGTTTCTAGCGTGCAAGGGTATACAGACTACCTAGGCATGTAGACTATCTAGTATGTACCTATGTAAGTTGTGTCCAAATATGTATTATCAGATGCTATCAGCATCTTCTCATCTTCATGGTCTAATATTACTGTCATGACCATCATGCACCTTTTCCTTACATTGCTGCCATCCATTCTCATTACAAATACGTACGTATGACACAGAGCAGCACAAAACTCCAAACTCATCGCTCATGCATACTGCTCGGCGAGCGGTTGTAGACTGGTGCTTGAACGAACCCGACCAAATCATTTCCATATCCTTTGTCCCCAACTTGCGTTTCTTGTAGGTCTTCTTTTTCATTTCATCTGGATTCCGGCGTCTAGTAAAACCCATCAGATCCTCCAAGCCTGCTTGAGGTCGAGCTGACTGTTGGCGTCGACTGTGCCGAGCTTGTGTCGCTTGGCGTTGCCGGTTCCACGACCTGACTTCGGATCGACGTGATCCATTCGTGCTGCAACAACTCAACTGCTGACGATCGGTTACGAGGGTCTCTTGTGAAACATTTCTTCAGGAAGTCGATTCCCTGAGGGCTGAGCTGATCTGTAGGTGGCAGCTGGGGCGGGTTCCCTTGCGCAATGTTGTACATGATCGCCCACTCGTTGTCGAGCTGTGCCCATGGCCTTCTTCCGGTAGCCATTTCCAGAATAACACAGCCTAGAGACCAGATGTCGACGGCCCCAGGCTTACCAGGGTTCTCACCCTTGATCACCTCAGGTGACATATACATCGGCGTTCCTGTCATGGATCGGTTTGCCAACGTTGCTTGCTTCTCGCCAGCAAGTGTGCGGCCCTGTCGAGCAATAACCTTGGCGGCGCCAAAGTCCACATACTTGATGATTCCGTTATGATCGAGCAAAATATCTACAACGTTGTTAGTTTCAGCACATGTAGGGACACAAGATACACCACTTACTTTCGGGCTTGATGTCTCTGTGGGCAATGCCGCTCTCATGCAAATAGACAAGACCCTCGAGCAGTTGAAGGGCATATACCATGATGACCTGCTCATCTTCGATTCGACCATGTTCCAAGAGACTGGCCAAAGATCCTCCAGAACAAAACTCCATAAAAATGTACACTCGGTCTCGGTGCACTTCGATGCCATAGTATGATACCACATTGGGATGATCCAGCACTTCCAGTACACCCATCTCTTCTCTGATTTGCTCGGCGATCTGTGGGATAAGTTTGGGATCCTGCAGTCGAATTTCCTTGACGGCCATCAGATGGCCCGTGTCAAGGTTCATTGCTGCATAGACATTGCCAAATGTGCCGCCTCCTACGAATTGGCCTTGCTGCCAGCGCATCGTAACATTGGTGGCTGATGATGAAAGGTACGCCAACGATCGGTCGACTTCATTAGTACCTTCTAGTACTCTTCCGACTCCCTGTCGCTCTGCAACCTTCTCGCGTCGATACTCATCTACCCTTTCAAGCTCCTCCATGCGCTGTTCAGTGATGAATCGTGAAGCCTCTTCGTCGTTCAGCATTCGGTTCTTGTCAAGCCTGCGGAACTGTCCTACCAAGGCTTCGATTCGTTCTTTCTCGGCCTGTGCCGCGAGGTTCGATCTGGCGCCCATGATATCAAAGTGAGAAATAAGAAGAGACATGCACCCTGCGACCTTGGAACGAAGCTTGGAATACTCATCCTCGCCTAGTGCAAGGATGTGACGGCCTCGTGTCATGCCCATGGCCAACTCTAGCGCGAGTACGGCCCATCGAAAGGTCTTTCGGTCAGATGCAACGCAGTCGTCGCAAATGAAGCTCACCCAATCGAGGGCAAGTTTGGTCAATTTGAGATTGTTCATCTGTCGCCTGTTGCTATCCATGTAGAGTAACGAACGCTGGCCAAACTCTGTGGCGAAAACGAAGCATGTTTGAATAAGTTCTTGGCAGTCCTTTCCCCGAGCCTGTTTTCTGATGATTTCAACACTGTCCATGAAAGTATTAGAAAGCTTATATGCCACCCGCCTCGTTTCTGTCAGTCTTGAGTTGACTTTGTGGATGTTGGACCTCGATTCCTGCACAAGGTCAACATGCATATCGACAGCGTCAAGGAACGCCCTCCTCGCGTTGTGTAGGGTCTGGGGACTAGAAGCGCACAGGCGTATGTGTCCTCGCTTTAGGTCGAGGTTCAGGTCGCGCAATGGTACTTCGATTACTTCGCCAAACCAATTGATAGGATCCTCTGGTCGGAGAATGAGGACATATTGCTCACCGAGCTCGTCGGGAAACTGGTCCTTGGAAGTAATAGCCATCATAACGGATATATCTTCCAGCCTCTCCCGTAACTCAGGTGATGCGATAACATATGTGTTGTCTTGCTCAAGCAAACGAGTGTCGACTTGAAAGTGACCCGAAGCCACCAATTGGTCGTAGAACTTTTGCATGGTCTCGGGTGGGAAGGATATGCTGTAGTCGGATGCGTGCTCATAGTTGTCGTTCAGCATTCGAGTGAATCGCTGGAGCATCCGCTGGCGGACTCGTACGGAGTCGAGACAAGCCTTATAACGCTTACTCATCTCCGATGCGGTTTCCTTGGGCTTTGCTTGCAACTCCTTTTCGAAAGTCTGGCTGAGTCTGTTGAGAGCCTTGAATGTGAGCGAGCTGAACTGCTCCGCAACTTCAATATGGCCTCGCTGCAGATGGCTACCGATTTCGTTGGCGAAATCCCATTCTTGAAACAAAAGTTCTGCTTCCTTGAAAGTATTCTTGTTTCCACTCAGCTTCCAGTTTAGCATCTTGAAGTAATACTTCAACGCTTCCAGTACAACTTGGTCGAAAGATTCATCGATGCAAGGTGGTAGATCCCAGCCTGGTTCCGGGTGCGCAATTGATGTGCACTCGATTTTGATTCGAATGGCAAATTTGAGCAGAAGCTGAAATTGGGAGATCATTTGATCCTGCATGAGAGGGTTTTGCTGGGCAGATTCCTTAACTCTCCTAGCATAAGCGAGACGTGTGCGGGTGATCTCTTCAATGAGACGCGAAGGGAAGCTGATAAGAGTAAGAAGCTCTTCGAGATATGGTGGTAGGTGGCGTTTGCGGAACGGCTCGGAATTCCTAATAAGAGTGTCCTTCGCCTTGCTGATGACGGTGGATATGGGTGCAAGCATTCCTTTTTCAAGGTTCCCATTGTCGTCGTTGTAAAGAGATTGAAGTCCGTCTTCTTTCATTAGCCGGTCGAGGAAGGATGTTTCGTCGCTGCTTATACCGTTTACAGCTGGCGATCGCTGTTTAGTCCGTGTAAAGTCGAGCTCATCGTTCCCCACCCACTTCCTCAGGATGTTCAGTTCCGTGTTTATCATTTCGTTGGTGTTGTACCACGATATAATAGCATCATGGGCTTCTTTGAATGTGGCAGAGTCTGCTGCCTTGTGTTCTGCTGCGAGTGAAGCCCAAGAAGGGTATAGGTTTTCACACATCTCAATCTTGGCCACCATGTCTTTGACTTGTTCGTAGGGTGGTTTTCCTGCTTCGCTCTCACCCTTGACTTGGAAGTTGATGATCTCGTCGAGGGTACGGTCAAGAGTGGACCGAGATTCCTCCAACATGCGTCTCTGGACAGGGATATGTCTTCCACAAACCTTGGATCGGATGCCCAGCCACAGTTCGGTCTTGTGAGCGCTCTTGCCCGCCTGTTGATCCGCCGATCCAATCAGTCGTTTCTTCTCTTGCCGTACGACATCTCCGGTAAGGACGGCCTCGAGCATACCGTGCCACTCAAGCCTTTCGCGATTCTCTGGGTCTTTCAAATCCTCGTCCGTAGGCTGAAGGTTGTCGTTGCCGTAAAACATAATGGTCTCCTGGTCGAATCGATCGTCATATGGACCCTCTGACGAGGGAGTTTCGCCTTCTGAGTCCGAATCGTTTCCATTCAAATTCGAGTAAGACGAAAAGTACCCTCCACTATTGTCCTGCCGAAGTTTCTGTACGTATGCTCGCTCCTGTGCTCGGAACCTGCTCTCACTCTGCCGTGGGCGCGTCTTAGACGATGATCGGATTGATTCTGTGAAAGATGGTGTAACTGGCGGATGAACTGGTTTCCTGGAGGTGGCAGGATTGTAGGTGTTCGAGGGTGTCCTCGCCGGACCCAATGGTCGCTGCGGCCAGGAGCCATTGGGTGTATAGGCCGCGCCGTCGTCACCAGCAGCAACTCTCTGTGACTTTGGGGCACCATTAATGACCGTCCCAGGAAGCAGAGAAGTCAATGACCCTGTGTGGCCCGATGTCTCGTATCGGGATAAATTACCCAGCTCGTCCTGACGTTCTGTCGCATGAGGATCGCCGTTGGTTTCGATTGGAGTTTCGTGCCGATGACTCCTGTTCTTGTCGATGCGGTCATCTTCTTCAGTACCTGAAAAACGAACCGCTCGGGGCGATGACTCGGTCATCCTAAAGGGTGTGTCTGGGCTGGCACCCGGGTGGAGTTGGAAGTATGAGCGCCCCTCGGCGTCACGTCGAGTTGTCGTGAGTGATACGACAATATAGTTGTGATTGGAGAAAATGCCAGTTTAAACGGTTTTTAGTCAGCGCTCGAGTTGTGGTCGAAGAGTTTACGAAGGTTCGAAGATGGCCATGGAGAGGGGGTTGAGCTTGGGGAGCTCTTGATGCAAGCAGATCGAGATGGATCGCATGGAGGAGTGGCAACCAAGAAGCGCGTGCAATTTCATAGCCAATCATCGCGCTTCAAGCATCTGATGGCGCATTAACTGTGGCTAAGGTGTGGCAAAACTATGGGGTCAGACCTATCATAAAGACGTTGAGAAGGCAAATCATGACTACATACTAATCTACCAACCTTGGAAAAAAATCAGCACTGTCAATCCTCTTGTACCACACCGGCTTATATAGGGCAAGGACTCGTAGAGCCTTGTTTGTCTTTAATAGCGTGTTACTGTCATGACGGTATATATTCTTACCACCAATGTTATAAATAATGTATTATATAGTGTTATATCTCTTTTACTGTGATGTTCCTATTGTCGTTCTATTATAACTTGGCAATACTGATGTACCGAGAGGTCTGTAGTCCTTAACATGTTCTGACTGATATACGTGGAAATAGTGACTGTTCAAGGGAAAGAATACTAAGATATCAGGTATGCCTTGCGCCAATACCACGGTGCTGTGTGAGTAATAATGTGGAGTGTAATGCAGGAAAGTTTGACTATTGCAATACACCACAAGTCATATTTACATATGAAATCCGATGCTGAGATTTTAGTTAAGAATGATTGCTGTCGATACTCAAGATGAATTAACACAAAATGACTACCCTAGATCCTACCCAACCTGCCCCAGCAGCAGCCAACGCGAACGGACGATGACCAATTTACCACCTTCGCAACAATATTCGTATAGGGTTTAGGATGATGATATTTTAATCAAGCGATGGCCGGAACGAATTGATGCAATATATACCCTACACACCAGCCTGAGCGTCATGGCGCTGCCCTGACTGTCAAGGAATAGCATAGAGAGTGCTAAGCCGCGGGAAATGATTGCACAGATTACGATTTATGCAAAAAATCTTACTGTCATAAAAGAGAAAGGAAAGGACAGGAAAGCTTAGTACTTATAATATCCGACACGTATACCAATTAAGTTACTCCATATGTTCCTTGAGTAAAGTTGTGAACATAAGCGTGGGCACAACTTGATTCACCACGTCGGCTACGAGCCGAGCTGTACATACACCGGAATTCAGCATCAGTCGGCCGAAGCAACTGGTGAACAAGACGATGCCAGCTTTGATGGTTCGGTTAGGCATATTGAAGAGGTTAGCAATCCTTTAAATGGCATGCAGACGGCACCACTAATAAATGGTGAAACTCCGGGATGACGCTTTGACATTCAAGGTCCTGATCTAATAATCTATGTACCAATGTGGCCAAGGCAGAGACGGATAGAGAACAGACAGTAGGCTAGAAGTACGCTAAGTTGATTGTGGTATGTTGACATAAAAAGTCATTTTCACTTTCGTTCGATTGACAAGGGTTGGCCCCGGAAAGGTTTGATCAGGTCAGAGTCTTCAATAGCCTCAAACCGAACACTCCATCCCTGTTCCGAGGGAGGAGGTTCCGTGTGTTAAGACGGCAACAACAAACTCTAACCAATGTCAAAACCACATGGGTGTGGGTTGAACCACGGCGGCTCCGTCTCCAAGGTCGAGGTGCGTTGACCAATGAGCAGGAATTCGAGGTCAGCAAAAGCCGGTCTGTGTCCAGGTCTGACATGTGGTAACAAGACCGGCTTACACGGAGTCATCGCCGTTGATACTAATGACGCTAGATCAGTGGCTAAGTAGGGAGGCAGGTAGGCGATAAGTTTTTCTTGGCGATATTCTTATTCAGCTGTTGCTGATACGTAGTCATTAATCTCATGTAAATCGACAGATCAAAAGCTTAGCGTCATAACTTACATCTGGCATGACTGACAACTCCATTTCACGATCTCAGGCATGGCCATGTTCGATACAGACCCACTCTTCTCACGGAACTTGCCATATCCGCTGTTAGTGGTGGTAGGCGCGCTGTGTAACATAGGACTCTGCAATGGCCTGAGATAGTCCTTGCGGATGCCGGCACAACGACGTTTTGTTCACAGTAGTATCTGGATACCACCCTAACCCGGATCGACATATCGCTGCCACCTACGCAAATCGATTTCCATGAAAGGACATTCTTTCCCAAGGCTAAGCTTACCATGCGTTGGCTCTGGAAATCGCTTGGTGGTTGTCAATCATATTATCAAGATGTCATCAAATCAGCCAGGGTCAAACACCAACATCCTGGTCAGGTCAGCGCGGGTATTTGCGCAGCATTAGCGCACATGCATGGAGCCTGTTGTGGCCAAGGTAGGTATAATAGTCGGTCCTTACAAAGTTCTTGTGGTCTCGGTCTTCCCTTGGAAAGAATCAAGAAGCCATGTCATATGTTAAGGCCATCCGAGTCTGCTCAACGGTCAAGCGTCGCTTTCGCCACCTCTTGCGGTATGGCCTGATGCACTTGATAATATGTCCAAGAATGAGATCCACATATCAATACACACAAGCTTGTGCGAACCATCCCACGCGCGGTGGCACTGAGGGTGTGAAAGCTTTCCTGCTTTGCCTGCGCATGTAACCAGATTAGGAACATCTCGGTATATCATCAAAGAAACTTTTCGTCCCATCGTGGCCGACCAGGCCGAGTAGAGTAACCTTGCTGGTGGCTCTTGAAAGTCGGAACGACATGTCATGTTTGACAGTGAAAATTAAGTTTTAAACTGCATGGTCTCGTAGTCAGGTCGGTGGTTGCAACGGCCACAAGGAATAGAAATTCTCCTGACCATCATCTCTGTTGAAGACTCAGCTCAGAAGCCGAGTCTTGGCGTCGCGTGGGGCCCGGAGACCTAAAGATCCTTACTAGGGCTGACCAGGGCTGCACGAAATGAGAGGGCTCCTGTAGGTACCCGACGGTTGGCCTGGCTAGCTGTCACAGCTTGGTGGAGAGAAACCTCTCACCCCGGATTCGAGCTGATAGATGACTTGGGTTACCAAGGACCTGGAAGGCTCGCCTCATGATACTGTTGAGGTCTGGCTATGCTGTGTTGGGCTTTGAACTGGCTGCGTTGGATCATGAGGGCCAATGATAATGTCATATCTCACCAGGAGGCTGCTGATGGCCTGTGAGATGATCAGATTGTTGATCGGCGTGCTCGGATCGTAACTTGATACCAACGCCAACCGATGTCAAACATGAGCACGAGGCGGGAAATTGTGGGTTACAGGGTGAGCGAGGCGGCGACAGTTGGGCTTCGACACATGGATGCCGTGATGCAGGAGACTCGCCCTGGCTGCAATGCAAAGATCTGCTAAAAAGTAAAGGGAAAAAAAGGAAAAAGTCTTTAGATGGATACCATAGCTGAATGCCTAGTTTGTTTCCATTGCAACTGTAAAATTGCGCAGTGAAGATGGGGGCACAAGAGTGGCCGCCAACCTGCTTCGATTACATCATTGCCATGCTTCTTATCTCTGTCCTTAGAAGATTCTGAGAGCAAGAAGACATGGATGGACCATGCTGCCTTTCTATGCCTAAAGCTTGCATAAATAATACAGATGTTGGTTAATAAGTGACATGAAGCCCTGTAAGTGTAGGAAGTTTAGGGAGGCTACTGCAACTAGCCCTGCCCCAGGTGGCTGTGGCTCTTCCCGCGTACCATCAACCGTGCACAGATCTAAGTTGTTCAAAGACGGGCAGTTACCTTATGAAAGGCACTATCTTACCTTCCATTGTTAGGTACAGATGAATCAGGTAGGTACCTCACTTACTCCATACAGCTCTACCTACTACCTAGTAGGTAGGTACTAGGTAATCGATCGCACAATGGATGAGACGAAAATTTGAAACGTGCTGATAACGAAACGCTCCGGGAAGAAGGAACGCAACCTCTGCTCCACCCTCCTCACTCATTCTCATCCCTCAACTGTCACCATTCAAGCCCTGCAATTTGCCATTAGCATACCACAAAATCCTGCTACCGTATTAGTGCCCAGAGACGAGCTTCCATCTGATGCACGATTCAATGGATGATACGATCGGTTACACCTTGGAACGAAAGTTCCGTATCATTCCTGAACATGAAGATGAGCCGAGTCAGTTATCGTTGCGACCTCAACGTTTCACTGACATCCGACTTACACTGATACGTGGCTGTCTACATCACGAACGCGCCGAACCAACTCATCAGGGTTGCCCCGTGGCGTTGACGCCGCTGAATGGGAATTAGGGAGAAGGTGACATCGCAACCCTTCAGGATGCGGGAAGGGATTTTCTCCCATCCACTTGACAAAGTTTATTAACCAGATAAACGCTCACTGTTGATGCCCATGAGACGCCACCCATCGAAGGGAAGGCACTCGTGAATTACTCCAGGCACACCTGGGTATTTAGTGTACCTATGGCGGACCGATCACAGACCACCGTCTAAGGCTCTAACCTATGTCTTATCCTGCAGCAGTGAGGCTGAATATTAATCGTGGAATGCTTCAGGTACCAAGCAGATCTGCCTCCTTCAGGATCGGTAGCGAAATCAAGAGGTAGAACAACGCTCGTTTAGTGGCATTACTTACGGATTGCCCAATCGCAGTTACAATTTACAAGGGTTCAACTAACACAAGGTTCCAGTGGTGCGTGCCCAGGCGTGTGCTGAATCGCCTTTTGTCTAAATTTCAAACTTGCAACCATCCTCAGAAAATTTGCCCCCTCCCAAGGCAGGCCTGGCTCAAGCAGCACTGACGCCGCTTCACTTGGATGGTCACCTTTATTGACCAAGGATATCTTGAACTGCCCTGCCTTGCTTTTTCTCCCCGATCGGGGTACGTCGGCTCCTCGTACCGGCCCATGTACAT